AAAAAAAAAAAAAAAAAAAGGCAGGAATGTCCCGGAGTTGCACCACCAAAGGCCCAGTGTGGGCTTATGATCTTCAGTTTGCCAACCAGCCCCTCCTATTCTCAGGACTCTGGTCATAAGACCTCAAAGAACAATTAGAGGCTTTCCAGGACAAAGGAAGGAAGGTACCCTGGACAATGATTAACCTGCAGGGGGTCCCCAGAAGAACACAGCTCAATGGTCCTCAACCTCTGACTCCCATGGTTCCCTGGTATCCTCTGGTCACACCCAACCCCTTCCTCTGAAGCAAAGGTATCTGACACATGAGAAAGCTCTGCTGAAAGGAATCAAAAAAACTAGAAGTAGCCATATCTGTTATCTGTATTCTTAGACCTTGAAAGGTCTGTTGGGTCACCTAGCCCCTCATCCACACAGCACTGAGTCAAAGAGAGGGAAAGCCTCTAGGCCAAACCCCCTCAAAGACCTAGACCCCCTTCCTTCCCCAGCACCAGCTCAGGCACAAAATCAATCTCTAAAAAGAACACCCCACAGGAATAGGCAAGCCTTATTGTCAGAGACTCAAGTACAAACTCCAGATCTCCACTTACCTACCATGTGCTCTGGGGCAAGATACTGTACTGCCCTGAGCCTCTGTTTCCTCATCTGCTAAATGTATATGGTACCCCCTAACTTGCAGAACTCTCATGAGGATCAGGAAGAAAATGTACAAACAGTATTGACATATCCTTAGCAGTTACTATTGCTCCTAAGTTATCCCTATTGACTTGGCTTGTGCTATGTCATCATAGTCAGAGGGTCATCAGGGATGACAGTAGACTAACTTATGTGTCATGCATCAGTTCAGTGAACTTCTCAACAACTTACAAGGCTGGGCAGCTCCTGTGGCTCAGTGAGTAAGGCGCCAGCCCCATATACCGAGAGTGGCAGGTTCAATTGGCCTTGGCCAAACTGCAACAAAAAAATAGCCTGGCATTGTGATGGGTGCCTGTGGTCCCATCTACTTGGGAGGCTGAGGCAAGAGAATTGCCCAAGCCCAGGAGCTGGAGGTTGCTGTGGGCTGTGATGCCACAGTACTCTACTGAGGGTGACAAAATGAGACTCTGTCTCTAAAAAAACCCAAAAAATTTACAAGGTAGGAACTTTCATTGTTCCCATTTTATAGATAAGGAAACAGGTCAGAAAGATTAAAGAGAGGTAAGTAACTAGTCCAAGGTCACAAGCTAGCACTCAGCAGCCCCTTGAAGCCGTCTTTCAACCCCCAGATCCCTCTAAAGGTCTCCAGACAGGGCAATGCTCACTTGGCACAGCGGACCCAGTTGATATGCTGGCTCAGGGAGAACAGAAATTTCTGGCGGTGAGTTGACCACACCTTGATTGTCTTGTCATCAGAGGCTGTCACAAGGGATTGGCCATCACTGCAGAAGTGAACACTCCTCACTGTGGCTGTGTGTGCACGAAACACAGTTGACTCACCTTTGCTACAAGGATAGGTATCAAAAGTCAGGAAACCTGTTACATGAGGGTACACAACTATATCAAAGCTCTCCTTCCCCCACAGATACCCTTCCCAAAATCAGTCAAACCTAAGTACCCCAGTTCCCAAAAGGAAAGGGCAAAACCTCTCCTACAGGAACAGAACACCACCCCTGCCCCCCATCCACATGCGAGCAGGATCAGGTAGTATTTCTTCAAGGATGGCTAGGATCAGCCCAGAACTGAGAAGAGGGCTTCAAATGAAGATCCAGCCTCTCATGGTACCTCCTCAGAAAAGGGGTAGACTTCCCATTGTGACTACTCCCAAGCCAAGGTAGGAGTAGGACAACTCTGGCATAGGGTCCCAGACTCTGACAAGCCCCTCAAAGTCTACAACTCACACATTGGGTACCCAGATGCGGACAGTCTTGTCTCGGGAGCCTGAGGCAAGAAGGTGTCCCGAAGGGGAGAAGTTCACACAGGTGACAGCGTCCTTGTGGCCCGTGAAGCGGTAGGCACGTGACTGGGGCTTCATGTGCCAGACCATGAGGCACGAGTCCATGGAGCCACTGGCTGAGGAGAGTAGGTGATGCTATGAACCTCAACTCCAGTAGGCCTCAAGTTGCGCCAGGACTCTGAGGAGGCAGGGAGAGTTCCACCTTCCCCAGCATCCACAAGCAGGGCAGTGAGAAGGCTCCCCACAGAGCAGGCCACACCTCCAGTGACTGCCCACTACCAATTTAGAGGGCCCAGCAATTCTCCAAGCAGTATGCCCACATGAGAATAAGACTGACAAAGGCCCATCATGTACCAACACAGGGCTACAAGTGAGAGCTCTGGAAAAACTTATCACCACAGGGCCCTAGGTGTCCCTAGAGACACACCCTAAGGGCACAAGAGAGCAAGTCCTCCCAATACAGGAGTGCTACCCCAACCTATTCAGAGAGGCCAACTCAATAAGAGGCCTAGAGGAAGTCCCCAAAACAGACCAAAAATGATTTCAGTTCCCTCTTAGCCTACAGCACACCATTAGGGCAGCAGCCTCTGGCAGAAGCCTTGATAATAAGATGAAGGGGCAAGCCTTGTCCTTGAGAACAAGAAAGTGCACTCATAAAAGTTGTGTAAAAGGCCAGGTGCAGGAGCTCACACCTGTAATCCTAGTACTCCAAAGAGGAAGTTGAGGCAGGAGGATCTCTTGAGCTTACAAGTCCAAGACAAACCTGAATAAGAATGAGACCCTGTCTCTATTAAAAATAGAAAAATTAGCCAGGCACAGTAGCTCATGCCTGTAATCCTAGCACTTTCGGAGGCTAAAGTGGATGGATTGCTTAAGCTCAGGAGTTTGAGACCAGCCTGAGCAAGGGTGAGACCATGTCCCTACAAAAAATAGAAAAACTGGCTCGGCACCTATGGCTCAAGTGGCTAAGGCGCCAGCCACATACAACTAAGGTGGCGCGTTCGAATCCAGCCCAGGCCC